TGCCAGCAAATTAGATAACCTGGAAGAGATGGATGCATTCCTAGAGATGTATCAACTACCAAAACTGAACCAGGATGAAATAGAAAACCTGAACAGACCTATAACCACTAAGGAAATTGAAGCAGTCATCAAAAATCTCCCAAAAAACAAAAGCCCAGGGCCAGATGGCTTCCCAGGGGAATTCTACCAAACATTTCAAGAAGAATTAATACCTATTCTTCTGAAACTGTTCCAAAAAATCGAAACGGAAGGAAAACTTCCAAACTCATTTTATGAGGCCAGCATTACCTTGATCCCCAAACCAGACAAAGACCCCATCAAAAAGGAGAATTACAGACCAATATCCCTGATGAACATGGATGCAAAAATTCTCACCAAAATACTAGCCAATAGGATCCAACAGTACATTAAAAGGATTATTCACCATGACCAAGTGGGATTTATCCCTGGGCTGCAAGGTTGGTTCAACATCCGCAAATCAATCAATGTGATACAGTACATTAACAAAGGAAAGAACAAGAATCATATGATCCTCTCAATAGATGCAGAAAAAGCTTTTGACAAAGTACAGCATCCTTTCTTGATCAAAACTCTTCAGAGTATAGGGATAGAGGGTACATACCTCAATATCATAAAAGCCATCTATGAAAAACCTACAGCAAATATTATTCTCAATGGGGAAAAACTGAGAGCTTTCCCCCTAAGGTCAGGAACGCAGCAGGGATGTCCACTATCACCACTGCTATTCAACATAGTATTGGAAGTCCTAGCCACAGCAATCAGACAACAAAAAGAAATCAAAGGCATCCAAATTGGCAAAGAAGAAGTCAAACTCTCACTCTTTGCAGATGATATGATACTTTATGTGGAAAACCCAAAAGACTCCACCCCAAAACTGCTAGAACTCATACAGGAATTCAGTAAAGTGGCAGGATATAAAATCAATGCACAGAAGTCAGTGGCATTCCTATACACCAACAACAAGACAGAAGAAAGAGAAATTAAGGAGTCGATCCCATTTACAATTGCACCCAAAACCATAAGATACCTAGGAATAAATCTAACCAAAGAGACAAAGGATCTTTACTCAGAAAACTATAAAATACTCATGAAAGAAATTGAGGAAGACACAAAGAAATGGAAAAACGTTCCATGCTCATGGATTGGAAGAACAAATATTGTGAAGATGTCAATGCTACCTAGAGCAATCTACACATTCAATGCAATCCCCATCAAAATACCATCCACTTTTTTCAAAGAAATGGAACAAATAATCCTAAAATTTGTATGGAACCAGAAAAGACCCCGCATAGCCAGAGGAATATTGAAAAAGAAAAGCAAAGCCGGTGGCATCACAATTCCGGACTTCAAGCTCTATTACAAAGCTGTCATCATCAAGACAGCATGGTACTGGCACAAAAACAGACACATAGATCAATGGAACAGAATAGAGAGCCCAGAAATGGACCCTCAACTCTATGGTCAACTAATCTTCGACAAAGCAGGAAAGAATGTCCAATGGAACAAAGACAGTCTCTTCAACAAATGGTGTTGGGAAAATTGGATAGACACATGCAGAAGAATGAAACTGGACCACTTCCTTACACCACACACAAAAATAGACTCCAAATGGCTGAAAGACCTCAATGTGAGACAGGAGTCCATCAAAATCCTAAAGGAGAACACAGGCAACAACCTCTTTGACCTCAGCCGAAGCAACTTCTTCCTAGAAACATCGCCAAAGGCAAGGGAAGCAAGGGCAAAAATGAACTATTGGGACTTCATCAAGATAAAAAGCTTTTGCAAAGCAAAGGAAACAGTTAAGAAAACCAAAAGACAACCGACAGAATGGGAGAAGATATTTGCAAATGACATATCAGATAAAGGGCTAGTATCCAAAATCTATAAAGAACTCATCAAACTCAACACCCAAAGAACAAAGAATCCAATTAAGAAATGGGCAGAAGACATGAACAGACATTTTTCCAATGAAGACATCCAAATGGCCAACAGACACATGAAAAAGTGCTCAATATCGCTCGGCATCAGGGAAATCCAAATCAAAACCTCAATGAGGTATCACCTCACACCAGTCAGAATGGCTAAAATTAACAAGTCAGGAAACGACAGATGTTGGCGGGGATGCGGAGAAAGGGGAACCCTCCTACACTGTTGGTGGGAATGCAAACTGGTGCAGCCACTCTGGAAAACTGTATGGAGGTTCCTCAAAAAGTTGAAAATAGAGCTACCATATGATCCAGCAATTGCACTACTGGGTATTTACCCCAAAGATACAAAAGTAGGGATCCGAAGGGGTACGTGCACCCCGATGTTTATAGCAGCAATGTCCACTATAGCCAAACTGTGGAAAGAGCCAAGATGTCCATCGACAGATGAATGGATAAAGAAGATGTGGTATATATATACAATGGAATATTATGCAGCCATCAAAAGGAATGAGATATTGCCATTTGCAACAACGTGGATGGAACTGGAGGGTATTATGTTGAGTGAAATAAGTCAAACAGAGAAAGACATGTATCATATGATCTCACTGATATGAGGAATTCTTAATCGCAGGAAACAAACTGAGTGTTGTTGGAGTGGGGGGTGGGGTGGGAGGGATGGGGTGACTGGGTGATAGACACTGGGGAGTGTATGTGCTCTGGTAAGCGCTGTGAATTGTGCAAGACTGTTGAATCTCAGATCTGTACCTCTGAAACAAATAATGCAATATATGTTAAGAAAAAAAAAAAGAAGAAGAAGAAGAAGAATGTAGCAGGAGGGGAAGAATGAAGCGGGGGAAATCGGAGGGGTAGACGAACCATGAGAGAAGATGGACTCTGAAAAACAAACAGGGTTCTAGAGGGGAGGGGGGTGGGAGGATGGGTTAGCCTGGTGGTGGGTATTTAGGAGGGCACATTCTGCATGGAGCACTGGGTGTTGTGCACAAACAATGAATCATGGAACACTTCATCTAAAACTAATGTTGTAATGTAAGGGGATTAACATAAGAATAAAAAAATTAAAAAAAAAATTGTAAAGGTTTACTGATCTTCAGTAAAATTGGAAAAATGAAAAAAAAAAAAAAAAAAAAAGTAGGAAAAGAGAAGCTTGCATTGCTGGAGGCTACCTTCAAGAATGAGACTTCTTCCCTGAACTCTTCACCGTCCCAATGCCAGAGTGATAAACCAAAAGGATCCTCATCAGTATGACCTACTTGAGAGTCAGTATAATTTTATATTTCAATCTGGCTGATCCCAACCCTAAAGGGTTGTGGGGCTGTCTTTTTATGCCCGAGAAGCCCAGTGTCACTATGCAGGATACATGTGCTTGATACGGGCCATCTCAGATTTATCTTAGTAAATGTAACAAATTACTTTTTAGATCCTCAAATTTATAATAAAATTACTTTACCTATCCTGATCACCAAAATTTGGTGTTTTAAATATGCTTTATTTTTTAAGTTTATTTTTTTAATTTAATCACTTCACTAAAGCATTGTTATTTAAACATTGGTCAAGGTTTAAAAGTCTAAGATGTGTTTGTTCAATCAGCTTTATCATGCAGAGTATCTTTATGTTCTGAATTTTAGTGTCTTATTTTGGGAGTGATATATATATTTTTTATTCTTATGTTAATCCCCATACATTACATCATTAGTTTTAGATGTAGTGTTCCATGATTCATTGTTTGTGCATAACACCCAGTGCTCCATGCAGAATGTGCCCTCCTCAATACCCACCACCAAGCTAACCCATCCTCCCACCCCCCTCCCCTCTAGAACCCTCAGTTTGTTTTTCAAAGTCCCTCGTCTCTCATGGTTCGTCTACCCCTCCGATTTCCCCCCCTTCATTCTTCCCCTCCTGCTATCTTCTTTTTTTTTTTCTTAACATATATTGCATTATTTGTTTCAGAGGTTCAGATCTGAGATTCAATAGTCTTGCACAATTCACAGTGCTTACCATACCCTCCCCAGTGTCTATCACCCAGTCACCCCATCCCTCCCGGGAGTGATATTTTTAAGGGTTTTGGTAAACCTTGATTAATATAGCTAGAGGTGGGTGGAAATGGAATTAATGTAATTAAGATGTTTTTCCTGCTTGGGCTCTGAAGGTTGGCTCTGACATTGGATCACTTTGTATTCTAATTGCTACATTTGGGTTCAGGGTCAGAGCAAACTGGTGAGTTGTGTTGATTTTTTTCCCCCATTTGTAATAAAATATTTTCCTTCCAGAGTTCAAACATAAAAAAGAGAGAAACTGTGTTTATGGGAACTCTCAGAACCCACCATTGTTGATGGGAACTCTCAGAGTAGGACTGACCACAAGTCCCCAGCAGTATCACCTTCAGGGGTCTCATAGTGCAGGGGCCTCAGGGCCAGGCCAGACCTATCAGAGGCACAGGGATCCCAGCGGGGGGGGGGGCATGGGTCAGCGCATGGGATACATAAATGCCTATTCACAAGGAGGCTTATGTAGTAAGTGACAAATGTATTATTTTTTTTAAAAAGGTGATGACCTTGGAAAGAAGTATTATAAGAACATCAATGACCTTGGAAATAAAAATATTTTGCTTTGAACCTTGGCTGCCTTTTATGAACTGATCTAGAGTAAATAATTTGCATCTCTCCGCGTCTTGGTCTCTTGTTTCGAGGATTGTGATAAGAATTGGATTAGATTATAGGGAAAGCCGGGTAATGCAGTGATTAATCCAGTTAGTATTGGTTTTCTGCTCCCCTCCGCTGGGCTGGTGCATAAGACAGTATTCCTGTTTTTCAAAATGGTCGCAATAATGATGCAAGTGGCCAATTTCTTTAGCGCTCAGTACGTGCTCTCCTGTGGGAACCGTCTTACCATTAATAACTCCTCCTCTTTGCCTGGGCAAGGTTTCTCTGTGCTCACCTCCTCCCCTCTTTGCTTGTATCCTCCTCTCCTCCCTTCCCCATCACCAGCCTTACCCCACACCATTGTCACCCTGACTTGCCCAGGCCCACTCACCTGGGACACAGAGGAGCAGCAGAGCTAATGGCAGCCACATGGTCTTGTCCCACTGAGGTGTCTCCAGCTGCAGCTGAAACCTCCTCACCCAGGGTTGGCTCACCCCATCTCCCTCTGGTGTCTCTCCAACTGCGGCTGAAACCTCCTCCCCCAGGGCCAGCTTACCCCGTCTCCCTCTTCTGCTTTTCTTGGCATTTCTATTTCCTTTTTCAGGCTCTTGGTTCTTTTCTCAGAGCTGCTCAGAAAATGAGGGAAGTGAGGGGCTCAGAGCATCGTGTGGTCAGCTGATGGCTTGCTGAAGTTCATCCTCAGAAATACATTTGAATGGACAGTTCTTGTTTATGTTCCCTCTGAGGATGATGCCCTTACCGTAACTTCACCCGCAGCCGACACACGCTTGTGCCATTCAACGAGGCTATCACACTGACTTCCATCTAGATTTTCTGAGCAAGCCCCCGCCCCTCCCCTGCCCCCCATCTATGAATAGCAAATGTCCTGTGACTGGTGTGCCTGGCATGAGCAGTCCTGCAAAGAAAAGGCATGACCAAGCTTTCTCTGGACAAAACCCTCTGTTTGCAGGACCCAGTGCAAAATGAAAATGCCTTTGTCCCAGAATTACCAATAATATCAAGATAGCAACAGCGGAGCATTAAATCAAGCCCTTCTGAGTGGGGGGTTGGTGCACCCGCAAAAGTGCATACCCCCCATGGGCTGGCTCCTGTCTCTGTCTCTTCCTGGAGCAGGGTGTGAGGCTAGGTCCCCTCTCGGGGTGTGCTCTGCTCTTCTCAGCCCCCAGTCCTCAGTCTGGCCCCACCAGGTCCCAGAGTCCTTGAATGGGTTCCTGTCTTGGTCATGTGCTCTTGACCAGGGCCCAGCACTCTGGCACCAAGCCATCCTCAAGCCTCACCTTTAATCTGTGTGGTTAAATGAGCCCCAAGATTCTCATGGCTACAAAAGTTTCAGTATATTGAATGGTAACTCAGGTGCACTTGGCCAGGAATGTGCCCAATGACATGAAACAGCCAGGGGGAACTTATAAAGGCAGGTGCAAATTTGGGGTGTCTTATCCAGGAGCCCAGATTCACGTACGCAGAAAAGTCTAAAATTCTGGGATCCCATTGTCAAACATTCTTAGCTGGATGTTTCAGTAAGTAACTTGCCTGCTTGTTTTTTGCTGTGCTGGTAGACCTCATATATTCTGATGTTTTGTGTGTGCGTGCATGGGGGGGGGGGGGGTGTGCGCACGCACCTTCCGCTTTCGTGGTGGGAGGTCATTTCCTGCACAACGCATTCAACAATGACACAGAACTGACAGAGCTAGGGAGGAGGAAGTTTGCTAGAAGCAGAAGGATTTTTTCAATTCATTAGCTTCCATTTACTTGGGCTCCGTTGCTCCCTCGTTAACCCTTAGGGTTTGGGTACATGAAAAGGTACAAAGATTCATATTTATCTTTTGTACCCTTTTCTCGTTAGTCCTTGTGACATTGCCTGAGAATTATTATTTTCTTTTCAACATGACCTTAAAGGAAAATCATTCCCCCTCAAATGTGATTCCCCCTTGCCATGTACGCTAACACATTCACAGGTCTGACATCTCTGGGGGTGGGGGGTGTTATTTTGTCCACAGATACTCACGGGTGGGTACCTGTTCCATGGATCCAGGCCTGTCCTCCCTGAGTGCTAGGGAAATGCTGGGAAGGAGTGGGAAGCTGGGATTCCTGCTTTCTCACATTCCCAACATGGTAGAGAGGCTGGGATATTAACATGAAGCCCACTCCCCCATCAAGAATCATCCAAAGACAACCAATGAGCTCTTTCATCAAAGGGCAAACACACTGCCCCAGTTTCTCCCCATCAGAAACCAGGGTGAAGGTGCATTCCCTCCCTGGGTCCTGACTCCCATATCTCCCTCTACCAGCTTCTTTCCAGCTTCAGACTTACTTCTTTCCCTTCTCCAGGACCCTATTCCTTGGAACCTGGCCCCGCTAGGCAATTTGTTCCATCATGCCTCTGAATGAGGCAAGGCACTCGACTCATGCCTCACAACCAGCTTCTGTCCTGCTGGTGACTGTTTGGAGACGAGTTGTTCTGTTGAGTGGGAAGTGGAGGGTGCAGGACTTTTAGGAGACCAAGGAGCACGGGAAGAGGCCTGTGGGGTGGAGAGATGGGACAGCAGCCCCACAGGGATTGGAATTGGGAAAAGAGTATAGTGGCTTGAAGGATATTTTGAGGAAGGGCAAAGCAGCATGCCCTCTCTCCAGAAAACTACCTGTGAAATCCACATGACCCATCATGCTCAAAGAAGGTGGAAGGCCAGAGCAAGGCTGGTCTGCAGGGGATCCTGGCCTTGCTTGTGGAGGAGAGGATGAGGCCGAGGGTGAGGGGTCCAGACTTTTGGATACTGAGAGGGACCACCAGGGGGACACATGTAAGCAATTGCCCATCATCCATCTAGACCCCGTGTCCAGTATACAGGTTGTATGAGAGAGAACACCTCATATGTGCTACCACATGGGGTCAGAGCTGGGAGAGACCCTTCCCCAGAGAACCCTGAAGGTAAGTAGCCAGGTGGACAGGGGTGGGGGATCTTCCTCCGCTTCAAAGAGGTAATATTAGATCGGAGATGGAAATTTGGGCAGAACTGACACAAGGTAGGACACAAGTAGAATGAGAAAGACAGGCAAAGGTAGACCCTTGAGCTTGGCTGGTCTGCAGGTGAGATGGAGGGGAATTGTGGGAGAGCAGCCAAAAAAGCAGGATAAAATCAGGGGGCAGAGGTGCTGGACCCCAAGCTGAGCTTACAGGGAAGGCCCTAAAGGCTTAGCCTTGGTTGGGCAGCATGGCTGTGCCCTCAGAGGGGCTTCCCTGGCAGGAACCAATGCTTGTCTCTCCTGCAGGTCTGGGCTCAGGAGTCAGGTCAGGGAGGAAGAGGCTGGGGCTGTCCCTAAAGAGGGAGCTCACTGATGTCACCCTGTTCCTTGCACAGGGCCCTGCTGTGGACTGTGGTGTGGCTGATCCAGAGTCGGGGGGACCCAGGGGGAGAATAGAGTCAGCCTGAGCAGGAGAAGCACAGCTCCCATGCCATCAACACCCCTGCACCCTCTGACCTCTCAGCAGGGAATGGGCAGTGGTTGAAGTTCCAGGAGAGATCTGGTCCCTGTTAGGTGGGGACTCCCCTCATCCTGACCTCAGGAATAAACTCTGGCTCCCTCCCTGCTCTGCCAGGTCTGGGACCCTGGCCTCCACGGTAGCAGCCAAGAAGCCTCCTGTGTGGATCATCCTGATGCCTCTTTTCCTTGTGACCCTGGAGTGGCTCTGCCAAGGATAATGGACTATTACAGCGTTCAGGACTCTGGCCAATGATGGGTTTTAAAATCCAGACCATCCGGTAATTATAAAGCCAGAATTAAACCAAAAAGCTTCCTAGTGTTCCACATGGTCAAAGACCCACGATGGGCCAGGTGTACAGAGGTCTGCCGATTCCACCTCCTCCTGGAGTAAGAATCGCCTAAATGTAAGATGGAAGACAAGGTTGGACCATCTCTGACCCGCATCCCATCTGTTGGCTCCATATATTTCCTATTAAATCTATGGCTATCCTGGGCTCTTTTGAGATTATTTCTTTGGGACACTATTTCAGTCCTTTATATGTGAGAGGATGACCCTTCCATCCTAGAGGGTCCAAAGTGACTCCAAATCGAACGCTAGAATCATAATGTGTCCAGCAGCTAGGAGGTGGAAAACAATAGAAGGGAGAGACCTGGGTGATGTCTTTTAATCCCCTCAAAGAGTTCCCAAAGAGGGCTCCCCTCATATAGATGCCAAATTTCATTGATCCCCAGGAGTCGATAAAGAAAAGCATAGGGACTTGGGTTTGGAAGTTATTTTCTGTGTTTGTATTTTATTATTATTATTATTATTAGAGAGAAAGAGAGCATGTGAGCTGGAGGGGGAAGGACAGATGGAGGGTGAGAATCCCAAGCAGACTCCATGCCCGGTGTGGAGCCTGATGCAAGTCCCAATCTTATGACCCTGAGACCATGACCTGAACCAAAATGAGGAGTCCAGCGCTTAACTGTATGAGCCCCTAGGCACCCCTATTTTCTTTGTCTTTAAAAAAGAGTATCATGATATATATATACCTTAGAAAGCCTTCACAAGCTAGGTGTACAGTTAAATGAGCCTTTTTAAGCAGGAACACTTGAGTTACTGCCATTGCAATCAAGATCTTAATAGGGATGTGGATATATGACTATAAATTTGTCAAAACTAAAGGAAGTTACTCTTTTTCCCTGTGTAAGTAATAAGTGTTTTGTGTCAAAGTGAGGGGCTTTGAAACAATGTAAATATCCATGTGTCCTTGTATCTACAGCAGTGGCCTCCAAGGCCAGGGGACTCAGCCGGTGGTCACAAGAACAGTTCATTTCTGTCCCTCCATTTGTCCCTTAGCTCTCCTGGTCCTGCAGGTGCAGGGCTCCAGGGAGCATCTGGACTTCTCCATCCAGACAGGACAAAGGAGGGGCTCAGATCTGTCCCCTTCATGCCTGTGGTGTTGTCCATCCTCCCGTCAGGTAGACCCACCATCACCCACTCCTGGGTATCACCTAAACTTTGCCCTGCCCACCCTCCCCTACTCCCCAGCAGAGCAAGGGCAAGCCAGAATGCTGGGCCCTTCATGTTTAACTTCCTCCCACTCACACATCAGAAAATAACACAAGTCTTTTTCTATTTTAATTTTCAAAGGTATACATATTTCCTCCCAACAAAATGTTGGGGTTTGGGGGGGTTTCTCTTCTACTTACATTCTTCCTGGGCTCTGCTCTTTTTTGTGTCCATATTTTTTGAACCATTTTGGGGGAACTATATCTCTTTTCTGAGCTCCTTTTTAGTGAGGTCGTTGTCTGTCATTTCTCTGAGACTGAGTGGACCTACCTGAGCTCTTGCTCTGTGTCCTGGAGCATTTCCTTTCTGAAGCAAATTCACCAGCCACCTTTTGCTGGCTCTCTGTTCCTCTCCTTGAGCCCGTTAGAGAAGGTGCTGGTTCGTTTTTGGCTCGAGCTTTCCTTTGAAGGAGGTCGGGGCTTCGCCAAAGCGGGTGTGTCGGGGCTGGGTGGGGG